TGTTTAACGTATATCAGGTTCTTATAATACAGTAGTAGTGCAGGTCATTGTAAACAAGTTCTGCTGAATGTAGTGGTGCATGCCTGTTATTTCAGCACTTGGGAGGCTGAGGCAGGAGGATCACCATAAGGTCAAGATCAGCCTGGGCTACATAGTAAGTCCAGGCCAGCCCAAACTACATAGTAAGATTCTGTCTCATTAAAAATAATAATAATAATAATAATTAAAGTGGAATTTGAATGCTGAATCCAGAGCCTGAGTTACTGACTGAGCCGAAAGATAGTGGCTGGCAGGAAGTGAGATGCAATTCATGCACGGCCTCACGGGATATGGTTTAGCAAAAACAAGAACAAAGAGTACAAACGACATGAGAGTTAATGCCAGCAAAAAGGCCAATCAAAAACTAAGAATTTCATTACCACAGTGTTTGTATAATGCCTTGGGATTCACAAGGCTTTTGCTCTAGGCAGACTTTTTCATGACTCAGATGTAGAAAGCCTAAAAAACATTTTTCATTTAGAATAGCCAAAGCACTAAGAATATGTCTATTCATTCTTGACCAGGAAGTGACATTACCATTGACTTTTCTGAACTGATAATCCCTCACGGAATTTGTATTTCAGGTTCCTCGTTTTAAGTTTCCGGTTATACAATATCCGATTTCATTGGAAATGTTCAGTGACAATAAACTTGTTCCAGTGAAACCTCCATATTTGGTTACTGTAACTGAAGTGAACATGAGGAAAAACTGGCAGCTAAGTAGGGTTTGCTTTCTTTTATAATTATTTTATCTTAGCAGTGATATTAGTAGCATTTGTTTACATAGCTGTTTACCCGAGAAATAGCAGCAGTTGTTTGGACAAGGTTTCCATTCACTGCCATGCTGCTGTTTACTTCAGCTGTCTCCCATGTAAATCCTCACAGCTTCTAGTATCCTGGATTCTACAGCATAAAGTATTTTAAGAACTTGAGGAAGGAACAGTTAATGTTTAACTTTTTTGTTCTGATCAATCTTGCATGCCTGTATCTGGTAATCCGGACATCTACGCTGAGGATAACAATATGCAATATAACAACTATTGTTGATTTCCTCTCACCTTGTTTTAAAATTCTGTGTCATTTTCACTGTTTCTATGTTGTTTTGTTAATGCCTATGTTTTTGTTATTTTGTTTTTTATATTTTCTCTTTAAAATTAACGGAAAAAAAGGAAAAATATATATGTATATACAAAGATGGCTGGGATAAGTGTGTTGCTGACATCTGTTGGTTTGTGGAAAGGAACAGTTAATGCTTCATTTTTTTTTTTTCCTTCTCTCTTGGCCAATTTTGCATGCTTATATCTGGTAATCAGAACAACTGCTTTGAAGACAACAATATGCAATGTAATAGCCATTGCTGAATTCCTACCATCTTGTTTGGTGAAGCTCTGTATCATTTCTAATGTGGTTTTTATTACTTGTCATTGTCTTTCATTGTTTGAGCAATCTTGCAATCTTACATCTGGTAATCTGAGCAACTTCATTGAAGATAACAGTACAGTATAACAGCCATTGTTAATTCCTATCATCTTGTTTTGAAATCCTGTATTGTTTTTATTGTTTTTGTATTGTTTTGTTTTTTGTCTTCATTGTTATTTTGTTATTGTTTTCTTTTACTGTTTAAAATTTAAAAAAAAGAACTTGAACTGCCAAAAATATGAAGTCATTTTGTAGGTTAGTAATGATCGATTGAATTTGTGCTGAGTGCAGATCTGAGGTCTCACTTTGTTATTATGTTACTGGGGATTAAACCTGGGGGCCCTTTACCAGTGAGCTACATTTCCAGACCTTTTATATGTTTATTTTCAGACAAGTCCTGGGGATTTAGCTCAGAAGAGAGAGAGGGAGGGAGGGAGACAAAAAGAGAGATAAATTACCTAAATTAGCCTTGAATTTATGAGCCTCCTGCCTCAGCCTCCCATGTAGCTGGGGTTACGTGTGCACCACCAGGCCCAGCTCCTCATTTATTCAGCATGGCACAGATTATAAAAGGTGTTGCCAAATAATCTACAGGACATGACTTCTAATCTTTTAAATTTTATTTTAGGATCCTACTTCTAATTATATGAATAAAGTTTCTTAGAAATTTAATGGTAAAATAATTGAAAAGACGCAGAAATATATTTAAACAAGGACAATGAAATTTACCTGTATTCAATTTTTTCTTGAATATACAACTTTTTTGCATTTTTTGTTTGTGTGAATATTTAGAGGAGAATGAGAACTAGATAGAAATAACTAAATGGAAATTTTATCAATCATTAATATATTACTAGCTATACAGACATTTGGAATTTAATGAGTCTTATTCTGCCCAATATACATGTACTTTTGAAATTTAAAAATTCAGTAAAGTAAAACTACCAAATATTTTTCTTTGACTAATATCCCCATTTTCTGTGGTATGTTGGGGGCTGCTCTCACCAAATAAGCAGTACTAACTGTTAAATATTAGAATATCTTACAAGCTGTCTATTAAACCACTGGCAGTTTGAAATTAGCCATGGTGAGAATATTTACCCTATGGAAATTGGCTAATGCTATAAGCGGAACTTATTTTTCCCCTTTAGATTCCATATACAGTTATACCACTGGAATTTGGAAGTTCTAATCCTATATCACTTAGAAAAAATAGCAAGAAAGACAAGAATCACGGATCCCTTCTTTTGAAAAAGATTTAAGCAATTCTGTTATGAAACTTTCCTTCTACCTTGTTAAAAATCATTTACTCTCCACCAGGGAGGTTGTGGGATAATCTCATTGCCAAAAACACAGACTGTTCAGGTCAGGACTGGTGATGAGCAAAGGGCTGAAGGAAAAGTTCAGCCTGAAGAAAAGTGGTTAAAAGCCTTGCCCTTCTTGAGGATGTAGTTGAAGGAGTGTGAGAGATTGGGCCTTATTTCCCCTAAAGATACCTGCTACAAAAACAAGCAGAACTAAAAGACTGTGATAACTTAATCAAGTAGTAGAATACAATATGCCATTATACCTTAATATATATAACAATGCAAATGAGAAAATGACTTATGTGTACTTCAAATATATTTTTATATCTTTTTTAGAACACACTATACCAGAAAATATGAAAAAAATAAAAAATTACTTAGAACCAATTCTTCGTACTTCAGTGTATAATCCCTCAGGTCTCAATTTAAGTATAAAGGTAAGCTAGTAGAACTTTTTATTGCTCTAGGTTTAGATAAAACATATGTGTCTAACTACGTTGCTATTTTTATAGTATATATATCTGTGAGTAGGGGACTAGCAACTTTAAAGTGTATGGAAAGGGCTAGTGATAAAAGTTTCATGGTGGAGTGTGTGCTTAGTATGTATGAGACTCTGGGTTCAATCCCAGCACCAAAAAATAAACAAAAATAAAGTATATGGACAGTGTTTACTTTTCCTCTATTTCCCTGGATGTTATTACTTCTAAAGGGATCTGAAGTAAGTTTAACATCTCTTACTATCTTTCAAACGCTTAGACAAGACAGATTGTCTAAAGTGAGCAGAAAGAGTATCTCTATAACTTAGGGGAAACAAATGGGCTCAGTATTCTTCAGGGGGATATACATGAAATATATCTTCTAGTACCAGATATCCATAAAAACACATGAAGTTGATATAATCCAGGTAACTGTGTAAACCATTAAATAGGGGATAGATCAGAACTACAAATGTTGAGGGATAGCCCAAAATATTCATCTAGGCCAAGTGAGGTGTTATGGTTTTGTTTCTTCTTTATTCTAAAACAAACTATTATTGAATTCCTCTTTTTCAGTCCCTCTTTTTAATCAATGATACATATGTCCAAGAGCCTTAGGAAAGGGATAGGAATCTTTCTACACAGCATCCACAGGGAAAGTGGCCTCAAATGTATTTTTACTTAAAGGAAATATGCATGTTAATGTTGCTAATGACCAGGTATGTGTTTTTTTTCCCCACAGGGCTCTGAGCTTTTTCACTTCAGAGTGTCCATCATTCCAGGGGTCACTTTTTGTAACTTAGTTGAAGAATTTCAGGTATAGTGAATGCCTACGGTACCACATGGGGTGATGAATGAGGAAATAACACAAGTGCCGATCCAGGAGACACCAAAGAGAAGAAATGAGCAGAGTTTGTGTTATGGGCAAAGCTTAGAGAAAAGGCATTCTGGAGAATGGTAGTGTGGCTGCTTGATAGATGCTGAGTGTCTGCATAACTCTTGGAAGCATTTTGTTCTGTGATTGTTGGAATCATATACTGTCCAGAGTTTCTCATTCCTAGTTTCAGGAAGCTTAAAGACTTTGTTTTTTTCTGTTGCAGATATATGTTGACGAAGTACCACTGCCATTTCTAGGACATACACTTATTGCTGTTGCAGCAGCCTTCCTGCTAGGGGGATTAATTTTTACAGCATTTATGCTTCGACTGTATAATATCCACCCATGGAGGGCATTGCAGAGATGGATTAGAAGAAAAAAATCGAATGTATCAAATACCCCTCTCACTTAGCTGGCTTACAGATGAAAGTCTGGATAGTGAATAAATGATAACCCAAAATTCTCTTTATTTTCTAGTTTTATTAAATAAATTATAGGACAATATGTTTAAATGTTGAATATAAACTAGATAAGTTACAAAAGAATTACCATTATGGTTCAATTTTTTGTCAGTTTTTTACCATTCCATTTTCTCATTTTGAACACATAGAAATTTATTTTAGCTAATCTATAAAAGATCTTACTTGAGCTTTTTTTGAAAAACAAAACGATGACCAGCTCTATGTGAAATGGGTTTTTCTATATTTTTCTCTCTTACTGGCTGGAGCCCCATTGTGGGTGGTCCTGAGCCGCCTTGCTATGTCCAGAGAAGAATGTGAGGAAGGCACAGTTACTCCAGGGGAGATGATGTGTTTACAGAGTCTTGCGGGAGTTAAAGAACCCACTTGGGTTTCTTAAGAAAACTTCAAAACCAGACTGAAGTACCTAACCAGAGGGAAATGTGAGCCCACCACAGAGTGTTGGAGGAACACCATGTCTGTGTGAGGTTTCCAAGTAGCCAGAAGATAACCAATATGTTCAGAAACATGTTCTCTTGAAATACTGGAGGAGAAGAACAAGCCTGGCACATACAGAGGGTTGTGCGTGAGGACAGTGTTGTGAGGTTTCGTTGGAGATGAATGAGAAAGGGGGCTGTTGGTAAGAGAGAGTCCTTCTGTGACTGTATAGTCCAAGCTCAGAGACATTTTCTTATTTTACGGCCTCCTCTTACCACACAAAATACTGTAAGCTGATCGCTGATATGAAGAGGCACCTCCCCATTATCAAAATCAAACACATATGCAGAACACAGAGCTCTGGAGCTGGAAACCCTGTGGCTCTCCACTCTCCACTCAAGGAAGGAGCTGAGGCTAAGGAGCCTCCATACTGCCAGGCATGGGGGTGAACGCCTGTAATCCCAGCACTCTGGGGGTCTGGGGAACCTAGGAGATCAAAAGTTGAGCCTAACCGGAGCAACTGAACAATTATCATAAAAGAGATTAAAAAGCATATTAAACAACTGCCACTGAAATAGACCAGAATCAAGGAGAGAGCAGTGGACATTTACTTACTCTATAAGGAATAAATACTTCCAGTGTTAACTGAATACTAATATGCCATAGGAAAAGGTGGAAACCTTTTCCTTGTTTTTTTAATAAAGCCTATGTAATTTAATAACAAAAGGAAAATATTTCAGGACTGGGAATACAGCTAGATGGTAGAGCAGTTGCCTAGCATGCTGCAGTGGTGGGTTCAATCCCCCAGCTCCAGAAAAAAGGAAAAGGAAAGAAGGAAGAAAGGGAAGGAAGGATGGGAGGGAGCAAGAAAGAAAAAGAATTTCACTTGTCACTTTTGAAAATGATGCAGCTGGAGAGATAGCTCAGTGGCATAACGCCTGCCTGGCAAGCACAAGGGCCTGAGTTTGATTCCCTAGTACCAAAAAAAGAAAAAGATGCAAAAATTCCAAATAAAGTATTAGTAACTAGAATTCAGCAGTGCAACTCTTATTGGATGGGGTAAGGACCAGCAGTGTTTTCCCGGTTCTTATTTGTCCAGATCAATGAATTGGTCAGGACAACTGGTGGACGTGAAAAATTATCATTTATTTAGGGCAGAAATAAGGGGAGAAAAAAAAAGCAGAAGTGCTCATGGGCACAAGGGTGCTTTCAAGGAAAAAGAGAAAATACACCCTGTAAGCAGAACGGATCGCTATAAGAACAAGAGGGCAGTGGCCCATAAAGACAGTTGCTGCTGTCCTTTCATGTCTTCTTTGCTAGCTGATTCTGGTGGCCCCACTTGATCTCATGCTAGAAGACTGATGTCAAGTGCCAGGTTCGATGTGTTCTTGTGTCAGGAGATTGGTACCAGGTGCACGGCTCAGCTTGATCCCAAGTCAAGCTTGGGTGCTGCTGTTCTGTGCCCGTGGTTAACGACTCATCTCAATTAGTAGCTTGTGTCCAACTGCTGCAGCCAAGTTTCCATGCCCTTGCCTCCTACTATGCAACCAATGAACAATACTGTACAACATGATCAAGTAGTATATTCCGGAAAGGCCAAGACAATGCAACATCAGGAAACATATCAACGTATTTCATTACAAATACATCAACAAGTTAAAAGAGACAAATTAGGCCATTTAATCTTTAAGAAGCACTTGATAAAATGTGGGAGCTATTCCTTTTAAAACTAAGAATGTTAGAAAACATCTAAGAATGTTGATTTAAACATCAATAGCAGAGCCCAGTATGGTGACACATGTGCTATAAAATAAGCTCACAGCTACCCTGGACTACAGGCTAAGACCCTGTCACCAAAAACAAAATAAAGTAGCAAATAACATTTTCTCTTTTACAGTGCTGGGACTGGAACCCAAGGCCCCACACATGCATGTTTGGCAAGTCCTGTACAGTGGTACAGCCTGTATTATTTGCAGACTGTACCACTGAGCTACAGGCACAGCCTGCAAATAACATCTTTAAAGGCAAAACGTTAAAGCAAAGAGTACCATAAGTACTCAAAGTCTTCCTTCGTGACTCCTTCTAGGATGTCATGGGCCAGGGCTTTGTCTTATTCACAGGAACTCTCAGGCCCTAGAACACCACCTGATTCTTTGCAAATAATATGTCCTTAATTACAAAACCCATCAAGAACCAGGCAGGACCACAAGCTTCCATTACAATACTTACTATTGTCTCAAAAATTATAACAAGAACAAGGAAACAAATTAATTGCTATAACGTGGGAAAAACAAAAAGATAAAAACCATCTCTTTGTGGTTGGTATTGTTTTATATCCAGAGCATCCAAAATATTCTAATAAGAAAAATGCACTGGAATTAATGAACTCCAGTTGGGCATGGTGGGGCACGCCTGTAATCCCGGCACCTGGGAGGGTGAGCCAGGAGGATCGCTGTGTGTTCCAGGCCAGCCTGGGCTACACAGCAAAACTTTGTTTCAGAAAAAAACAAAACAAAACAATGAATTCTTAAACTCCAAGGTTAGGCATGGTACTGCACACCTGTAGTCCCAGCTACTTGGGAGCCTAAGGCAAAAGGATCCCAGGTATGAGGTTATCCTGGGCACCTCAAGCAGACCCTATCCCAAACTTTTAAAAAGGTACTTGGGGAGAGGTAGTGGCTCAGTGGTAGCATGCCCTCCGGGTTCAGTCCCTAGTGCTGCAAAAAAAAAAAAAAATTAGTAACTTCATAAGGTGGCTTACAAATTAAAAGCACAGATATTAGTACTCTTTTATTTGAATAATAATTTCCTGGCAAAAGGAATGGAAAATTTTCTCCTTTGTAATAGCAACAAGCTCTATCAAATGCAGTTATATATTGCTTAACAGCGGGGATTTGTTCTGAGAAGTGTGGCCTTGGATGACTTCACCATTGCGCAAACATCATGGAGTGCGCTTACGCCAATTGAGATGTGACAGCCTGCCACCCCCAGGCCTACGCCCATGTGGAGTAGCCTGTTGCTCCTCAGCTATAAACCTGTACAGCATGCTACTGTGATGACTTTGGGAGGCCACTGGAACACAAAGGTAGGTGTTTATGTATCTGACCATATCTAAATGTAGAAAAACTACAGTACAAATGAGGTGCTAAAGATAACCCTGTGTACTGCGCAGGAGTCGCGGGGCTGGGAGTTGCTCTGGTTGACTCAGAGAGTGAGTGTGGAGGCCAAGGCCACGCCTGTGCACTATCACAGATTTTATAAACTCTGTGCCTCTAGGCGCCACTAAATTTGTTTTCTTTCTTCTATAATGCACTTAGCTTATGTAACGTTTTTCTTTATGAACTTTTTTTGGGGAATATGAAAATGTATTACTAATCTCTTTTCATCATCAAAATTTATCATCTTGGTCTTTCCTTCTTGCCTTTGCAGAGAGCCAAAAGAGAGACCCTGGCTACTTTAACAGCCTTAAAGCAGACTGCAGGAATGTCACCAACAGCATGACCTTTCTGACCAAACCCAGCAACCAGGACTTCATCGATTTCCTCCATAAAGTTCAAACGCCCATCATTAGGGACAAAAGCTGTGATTTTCTTGCCGTTCTTGATCAGCCGGACGCTGACGCACTTCCTGATGGCAGAATTTTGGCTGTTTGGCTTCAACTCCTACTTTTTCTAGCACGATTCCCTGTGCATGGGAAGCTCCTCCAGAAAGGTTGGCCTTCAGGGCTGTGCCCAGGTCGGCCTTTTGGAACTGCTTGTCGTGCCATTTCCGGTCCCGCTGGTGACTGCGGAGCTTCCTGGCAGTCGGAAGGCCTGGTCACTTCCCCATCCTGCCAGGCCGAGGGCCTGAGCGAAAGTATAAACTTTTTAATTCTTTCAGCTTTTTGACTCATCCAGCTCTATTGTAATCATGTAGGACCGAAACATCACCGTGCGGTACATAACGGGACTTGGAAATCAATTTCACGGGTCTAAGAACAAAGGCCCGGAATGTAGCTCAGTGGCACAGCACTTGCCTAGCATGTCCAAGGCACTCAGTTTGGCCTCCAGCACCACTACTGCCACAACAAAAAAGACTCGGACCTGAATACAAGAAACTACAAGATCTTTTTGAGACCTATAAAGGAGAAACACAACATGATGTTAACTGGGAAAATTCAGTATCATAAAAACATCAGTTCTTCAACACAAGAACTACATTTGTTGCAATTCTAATGAAAGGGGTTTTGGGTTTGAACTGTTTTGTTGTGAACTTTGATTTTTGGAGCGGGGAAAATCAACTTTATGTTGGAGAATAAATGTCTTGTGCTGGGCATTGTGGCACACACCTCTAGTCCCAGCTACTCCAGAGCTGGAGGCTGAGACAAGAGGATTGCTTGAACCCAGGAGTTTGAGGCCAGTGTAGGCAATGTAATGAGGCCCTGCCTCAAACATAAGATGGAAAGGAACAAAAGGGAAGGGAAGGGAAAGCAAGGGGAGGGAAGGGGAGGAGAGGGGAGGGGAGGAGAGGGGAGCAGAGGAGAGAGGAAAGGAAAGGAAAGGAAAAGAAAGGAAAAGAAAGGAAAGGAAA